TTTCACAATTGTAAGAATTGTGGATTTAAACTCTGAGAACCCCCCGGCCAGGGTGGCGGGTTGGGGAATTCTGGGAGTTGAAGTCCACACATCTTAAAGTTGCTGAGGTTGAGAAACACTGCTCTATGTTCATATGGATCATATGACTAAGTCTTAGAGGTCCCCTGTAACAAGGCAAGTCATGGATCCACTAGACCTTTGCAATGTCCCTTGTCCAGAAATGTCTGGCAAAGCTGGTGCTTTTTTTGATTGGCTGGTTTGGAAATACCAGCTGATATATTGGGGCATTTGCATCGCAAATCTTTACAGATATGACCTGGGATCCAAGGTATAAGGGCTGATTCACAGATATTAGGGCTATGCAAATACATTGAAAGAGGTACTTTGCAGTGCAACTCAACTCCCAAGTGTGACAGACCTCTACAAACCCCATCTAGGGAGGAAGGGAGGAAGGGTAAGTTCATATTAGGGTTGCATGAACCCAACTCTAGCAAGGTAAAAATGGGGTGTTTTGCTTTTCGAATTGTCCCAGACGCCCCCATCAGCAAACACTTTTGACTGGAGGTAGACAGTCCTTACTGTTGACATAGATTTGCATTTGAAGATCTAGCAAAATATGTATGCAAATCTGTATAAACCAATAAGTATATGTAATCTTACATTACAGTTAGTTAATCAAAGAAAGTAGTGATCAAAGAAAATTCTTTGTTACAGTATTTTGGTTCTGAATGAGCAGAAGGTAGACTGCACTGGACTTCAGGGGGTTGAGGTCTTGTTCATGTTTACATGGTCCTGCCTTAGTAGGCGGTTTCAGAATTTTACTTCCGAATAAACAAACATTGGATTGTGCATTTAATCACAATACTTTTTTCTATATAAGTGTGGTAAACCTGGATAGTTTACAAAGGTATATTATTGTCTGTTAATGACATAAGGCAAAATCTATAGGAAGACTTATTTTAGAATAGCATTTTGTTCATGGGGCTGGGTGAAGTCACCTTAGCTGATGAATAAAGGAAGAAAAGGCTTATCTCTTACACACTAGAAAGAACTTCACTTTCTTTCTGGGCATTTTGCTGTGCTTGATTATTTAGAATGCTTAGGTGCAGGTGGTTGGATAATGTGTATAAAGTGAACAACCTGGACAGCAGTGAGAAAAAACAGGCATAAAGGTTCCTTTCCCCCCCCCCCTTTCTAGGTACAATGAATTGCTGTTTATCATTGATACATGCCAAGGAGCATCCATGTACGAACGGTTTTATTCTCCCAATATAATGGCCTTGGCTAGCAGCCAGGTTGGAGAAGATTCACTTTCTGTAAGTATATAGTTTACTAACAATATATAGGTACAGTTCCCAAATGAAAACCTCTTCCAGTTTGGTGGCATATCTGCCTGTATAAGATTTAACAGGAATATTGCTTCTGCTGGCAAGTACTGTGTTTGTAATGGAATGAGAATTTGTTTTAAATGAATAGTAATACTAATTCATAATAATGCTGTAGAGAAAAACAAGATGCTTTTTTAAAACAAAAACAAAATTGTGACCCTACATTAGGTTGCTCATGACCTTCTAGAGGTCATTACGACCCTATTTTGAGAACCCTAGTATATTTTATTGTGTATTTTGGAAGCCTAAAAGCACTTCTCCAGGATAGTGACACCCTCCAGGAGGGATGAGTTTTGGAACATAAGAGAAGTAGGTAAAGGATTGATATCTTTCTCCTAATCAGGTCAGATTTGGCAGATTGAAATATAGAATTAGTGTTACAGAAACAAATCCCTTTCTGGGAACCAGCCCATTCACCTATTTTACTTGGCTTTATTTATTTGTGCTCCTCTCTGTGCCACATGGTAGCTGTCCATAGTTTGGGAGGTAGAACACACAGGATAATCAGCTGTTGATAGAGGATGTGAACATATTGTGTTGCTCAATTTTCAATGCTAAACATTTATGTATAGTAAATTCAATAATATTTATAACTACGTTCTCTTTTTGAAGCATCAACCAGATCTTGGCATTGGAGTCCATTTGATGGATAGATATACATTTTACGTCTTGGAATTTTTAGAAGAAATTAATCCAGCCAGCCAGACCAATATGAATGACCTGGTAAATACTTATTTAAGTTGCTGTGCCTATTTGTGAAACCACTACTGGAAGGCTGTGTGTTTTACCTAATTTTATATAATCCTTTTAACATCCTTTCCTTTTTTTTTCCATTGTCCCTGGTTGGGAAGAAAAAATTTTTTTCTAGTTGTAGAGCTGAAAAATAAGATTTGCTCAAAGTCTACATAAATTAGCTTTAAATCTAGTGCTGAATACACTACCTTATTACAGACAATAATGTTCTTATAGCATGGAATCTTAGTGGCAAAGCTGTGTTTTTCATTATCACCATTGTATGCTGAAATTTGAATTGTTTCTGGCCTGTTGCATACAATGCTGTCTTTCAGCTCAATTATATAAAAAAGTTGTATTATGCAAGATTCAGAACCATTGCTTGATTCCTGAATTAAGCTGAAAAATGTATTAGCCTTAACTGAAGTTAAATGTAAGAACTAATTGCAGAGTGTAAAAAGAAGCATAGGTGATTGGTAGAGTATAATCTCAGTAAGCCAGTGATGTGACTTGCATCTCTAATAAAAGAATCAGGTTGCAGTTGCTAGGAAGGATTCTGGTTGTGGTCCTGGAAAGGTACTGTGTAACATAACAAATAATTTGATGATATAAGACAGCTCTATGGATTTGGCTAGTAGAAGGGAGCTAGTTAGAAGCAAACCTACTCCTGATAGTGTGTGGTAAATAATTAGCAACATTCAGAATCCAATCCTAAGCATGTTCACCCCACCCCCAAAATAAATCCCACTGAATTTAGTAGGATTCACACTCCACTAAGTATGCTTAGGATACTTTTTTCATTTATTTGAAATTTTTATGTGGTTAGAAGATTTAGGTCTCATACCTCTTCTGGAAGCCTTCTTAAGTATTGGAATCATGGAGCAGAGCTCCAAGTATTCAGTGGTGCATTCTGAATATGTTCAGAAGATGTCACATGGCAAGTCATTCTACTAATGATGCAAGTTTTCAACTGATGCCTAGGGAGAAGACAGACTCCTGGCCATTCTTCCATATATGGCATTTTTTGTAACAGACTTTTCTACCTAAATGTAAAATTCTACTTCCCAAGTCATAAAAGTATGGCCAAATGATTTAATGCAGAAATATTGAACAGCTATGTGTATATTCAGAGATAAAGATTAGCTTGTCTCTCAAAACCTTTCCATATTATGTTAAGCAAGAGGTTCTGATGCACGTGCTATGCATTCATATCCTGTTTTGCAGATTTGAGCGGTGTCCAGTTTAAATTAAATCTTGCTTGACATGCTATGTCAAAAGACAAGAGTTGTGAATCTGTATCTCCATTTCTTTTCTCATATGAGAGAGAAGCTATATACAATCGTTAACAAGTATTTAAGTCTGTAGAGAGAACCACTTTGGTGTAGTGGTTAAGGCACCAGGCTAGAAACTGGGAGACTGTGAGTCCTAGTCCTGCCTAGGCACAAAGCTAGCTGGAAGACCTTGGACCAGTCACTCTCTCTCAGCCCTAGGAAGGAGGCAATGGCAAACCACCTTGGAAAAACCTTGCCAAGAAAACTGCACGGATTTGTCCAGGCAGTCGCTGAGAATCAGACATGATTGAACAGATTAAAAAAAAAAAAGTCTACAGAGACAGCTGTACATTACCTGTTCACTAGAAAAGATGGCATTAGCTTGGCAGTAAGCAACCCACACTGCCAAGCCTGATAGTGACATAGAACTGAGTAAGTGACCAGTGTTCAGCTGAGAAACAAGTTGTATTTTTAAATCTAGTTTTAAAAGATATTAATATAGGGTATAATTCTGAGAATGTGGCGTGTTGCATAATGATAAACTGATCACACTGTTTTGAACAAGCTTGGCTGGTACAGTGTGTTTTGTGGAATCCATTAACTTACTGGAAATCAACAGCATAAACCAGTAAATAAAATGCCATCTGGGATATATTGTGAAAATGGGCTAGCCAGTTAGAAATTATAGCCTAGAATTTGCTGATGTTACAGCAGATTTCCAAGCACTTCACTTTAATAGTTTTAAATTCTACTTTATTTTTTAATATTTAGGAGAAATTAAGGTTATAACCCTGTCTACACTTGCAGATATGAGGCCCCATTAAATATTGTGGGATTCAGTTCTGAATAGACACATATAGGATAGGTAAATGATTTTAGGATGATCTGTAGAGTTTGGCTATTGGGATTATGTCCTGTGCTTGAACATTCCATTCTTGCTTTGTTTTCTTCACTTTTTGATTGGGGCAAACAGTCATTTTCAGAAACATCTGTACTCATTTCTAGCTGTGATTTGATTGGTTTAGAGGTAAATTGATTTCAGTATAACAGCAAATTGTAGATATCTCAACTAGAAAGTTATTTAAGTAACTGGAGTCTGTAATTTGGAGAGGAAAGTCTGTAACTCTGTGGCAAGGTACCAATGACCCAAACATGGCTTGACAGTTTATGTGAAATTAATCCTTTCTCTCTGACAATGAATAAAACTATTTAAACTCCAGTATTATTCCTATTGGGGAATTGCAAAGCATGTCACAAGTTGTATGCTGGTTTTGGATGATCTCCCATTCACTAGAAGGTCAAACACCCAGTTGGGAAGAGGATGCAGCAAAAGTATTCATGAAGATTTTAAATGGAAAGTTGAAAAAAATGTAGAATGTAAAAAATGCCCATTAATAAATTAAAGAGGAAAGGCTCTCTTGAATGGTTCAGTTGTGTTGGAGTAATTTATCTTCTTTATAGTTTCAGGTGTGCCCTAAAAGTTTATGTGTGTCAACACCTGGACACCGGACAGACCTGTTTCAGAGAAATCCCGATAACGTCTTGATAACTGATTTTTTTGGGAGTGTACGAAAAGTGGAAATTACAACTGAAACAGTTTCTCTGGATCCTAATTTAGCACCTGCAGAGACAAGGTATTTTGGTTTATTTTTTGAAGCTCTGATATTCATAATTGAATAAATAATTAAAAATATATATCAGGATATGAAGATTCAGACAGATTGATCCATGCAAATAATGTCAGAATGAGTGTACAAACTGGAATGATCTTATTGCAAAAAGATTCTAGGTAATGTTCAGGAAGGCACTATAACATGTGTGAACATCAATTGAAGGGCTTCCTTTTGTTTAATATACTTTGGGTTTTGTACTCGTTGCTTGGGAACCACGGGAGTAGAGGGATCAATGGAAGCATGCATGATTTGATGGTATATGGATTCAAGAATCCTCAAGGAAGCAAAATCAAGTATTGGAGAAGTCCGAAGGCTCAGGTTTGATGTTAATTAACTAATGAACACTGGAAATCTTACCCCTAAAAAAGTAATGAAAAGGATGGTAGATGCTTGTCTGTCTGGAATATTGCATTCATAAAACACTAATATTCAGAATACTAATACTCAGAAAGCTGCATTACAATCAGGATATATGAGGAGAGAATATAAAGTGGAGAATATATCAGGATACCAGTGTATCCAATACCTACTGGGCGTAGGTACAGAGAACTGGAACAGTCATTGGGGGAATTCAGATATGTGTATTCTTCCCTTACACTTGGAAATAGTAAACAATTTGATTTCCAGTTCACAAGCAAAATTTTCAATGGCCCTCAGTACCTTCAGGGGAGGTAGTTCACATATATAGATGCAAGGAGTAATTGACAATATACTTTTATGTATGAATCAGTTCCTGATTCTTGGAGACTCAAGTTCATCTTATATGAATGGGGAAACATGCTTGTATGCAGCAGAATTTTAAGCATATCTATATACCACAATTGAAATATTGCCTCTGCAACTTAGATTGGTGTGTTTGAAAGCGAAATGCAAGGTAGAGAAAGGATTCCTCTGAAGTATGTAACATTTATGGATTGTACACTTTCAAGCAACAAGTTGAATTTATATGTGGTCTTGTGTTGCCATCTGTTGGGAGCTCTTGGGATAAAAAACCATTTTGTTCTGTTTTATCTACAAGTAGCCATATACAGCAAAAAACTACGTTGCACATAAATTGGATCAACAAGGTTTCATTTTTCATTTCTGAAGTAATTTATCTTTTTCAAAGTAATAATTAGATTTTTTCTAGATTATGGCCTTTAATATTTGCAGTGTGAAGAATTACATTAATCTTCTTTACAGAACAAAAATATTCATTCTATTTAATTCCATCATGCTTCTGAGATGCCTGTTTTTGTCCTCCTGAAGTAACTCTGTGTGATGGGTGAATAATCACTCAGTGCAAGCATGTGCTTGAATGGGAATTTCCACCTGGATCTCCTTGGTTTGAATCTGACATTGTGGCCACTATAAAATTGCCTTTACTTATTTTATGTATGTGTGAGAGAGATAAAGGAGGAGAAAAGTACACATTTACCCAGAGAAGTACAAATAAAAAGACAGAACATGAGCGAATGGACAAGTGCTCTGAAAGGTGAAGCATACTGAAAAGGCTGAGTAAATGTCAGTACACCACAGTATCTCCATTGTGGTGGGATGTGGGCAACGCTATGTTGCCTTGCAAAGCAGTCTCTAGACTAGATACCCTGTCTTGCATAGAATAGCATGAACATGCTTAGGGTAAAACTAGGTCACGATTATGCCTTGTGGTATATTGTCCAAACTGTGTGATAACTGACCAAGACTGTTTTTTGGCTATTTTTACTAGCCAATGTGGCATGTGTACAGCTAAGGCTGGTAACCTAGTCAACCACCTTCTCTGTCTTACTAAGAAGTGCAATGTTAACTCACTTAACCAAAGCCATGACGGGCAGCAGAGATCAGTCTCTATGCGCCCATCAGGTAATGACCCTGGCCTATTGAAGAATGGGAATGAGAATGTAAGAGGAGAATTTGGTAAGCAACATAAATGAAATGAAAGAATGGAAAATAGATAGTAGTGTGCCTCTAAAGCCAAGAGAAAAGGAAAGGATGTAATAGTTTAAATGAAGGTGGTCTAATCTTGTAGAGTGGAGTTGATGAATACATACAGAGAAGATGTAGGTTTAATTATGGATGAAAGAGCTAAAATGTATGTCAGAAAGTATAAATAGGTTTTTTGGGGGGGATTTATAAAATAAAATTTTACTAATCATTAATGCTTTGGATTGTCTGGTTATCATAAAAGAATTTGTTCATATCTCATTGGTGTATGTAACTATTGATTTAAATAGCCCAAGAATTTCTTTAAAAACATCCAAATAATCTCAGAAGGTATTTAGATTCAAATTCTCTGGATAGAAAGCTTTGTGTTTGTTTAAGTATAGCTACTGCAGTTTGCATGCAATTTTCAGTACTGTTTCCTTCTTTTCAGACATGATTTATTGTGAAGTTTGCATTATTGAAAACGAATGCTATTACTTTTGTAAAATCTGGTTGGAGCAATATGTTCAAATTTGTTCCCAATTCACAGCTGATTATTTTTTTCACTTCTAATATGAAGATATACTTCCTTTGTTCTGAAGTTTTTGACAGATTGTTGCAGTGAAGGACTCCAATTTCTAGTATTAAAAGAAAGAGAGAAAAAGGAAATGACTGCATATTTAAATTTTAATCAGTCCCTGCAAAGTTTAGGGTGAACCAAATTGCATAGTTTTGATATTTTTAACAGAACATATACCAGTTTGGACTGACACTAAGCATATGGTTTTGATCACTGATAGACTGGACACCTCTTAGAAGTCCTGTGTAAAATACAAATATGCAAAATGAATATATTTGCAATTGTCACATTTTAAAGTTTAGGATTATTAAAAAATGTTCTTTTGCAAGAATTGATTTCATGCCCACAATGAATTCTTTTCTCTGAATCTATGGAAAAATAGATGTGGATATGTGTGTTCTGTATATACCCACCCTTCATTTAGCAACTACCTTGTTTAGCAACCATTCACAAACACGGTAATAAATGGTAATAAAAAATGCATTTTCCAACCAATGCATGCACTTACAACCAAATTTCATGCGCCTGACAACAACACATGCTGGAGTGAGAATAATGCTGGCGAAGCTGCATGAGAGAACTTTATCTGAAAGAGATGGCAGCAACCAGTGATCTTTTCAGCATCTCTCTCTCTCTCTCTCTCTCTCAGTCACGTATTCACTTAGCAACTATTTCACTTAATGACCAAATCATTGGAACAGAACACAGTCACTAAAAGAGGAGTAGGTGTATATAGATGTATATATGTATTTTCCCTCCTGTTTTGGTGGAGTAACTGGTAGTACCTAGTATTTTCAAAATATTTCCAATATTCTGCATTGGAAAGCTTGCCAGTATCACTGAACAGAGACCTCATAGTTTTTCCTGATTTTCAGAATAGTTTCTCTGAAAACCCACACTCTACAAAAATACTATTTAAATAAATGGATAAAGCAATAACCAGTGTATTTTTTCAAACGTGTATTTTTCTCGCAAACTATTTTGCTACAGACATTTAATCACATATGAGATATTTAAGTATATATTAATGCAACTCTAGAGGTATGTTTTCTAAGTTTCATTGAGTTCAGTATGGCTTCATGTGGGGTAAGTGAGTGTAAGGTTGCTGTATGTCTGCATTTGGGGCAGCCCAGAAAGTCTGTCTTAGGAGCATTTCTGGGATTGTTTACAGCAATTGCAGTAACTCATGAAGGTGCCACAATTCTATCTTGGGACGTCAGCAGCCTTTTAATGTTGCCTTTTCTAGCTTTGCCGCTGTAGTCCATAAATTGTCTAATCTCTGGAGGAGTACATGACATGCATCATGCCGCACAATGTTATATTGGAGGAAGAGAGCTGTTCTTCATTAGCATGGACTATTTGGTATCAATATTTCATCACTGAAGTGTGTCTGTGTGGAAGAATTGCTTGCAGGTGTGTGTATGTCTGTGGTGACATGCAGTATAATAAGCAGATTTAGAAGGATGATGAATGGGATAATAAGTTAACAAAATTCTCATGAGGGAATGGTAGCATAGTATTCTGGGTGAGTATTTGTAAAAATATATTTGCTCACTTTGGGCATTGTGGAATTTGTATTCTCATTACAATATCTATGTATTTTGAGGTCTTCTTGGTATATTAATTGGTTTTTACTGTGGTCTGACCAAATGTTTCCAAATTGATCAGGCATTATATCCTCCTTTAACATTAGTAATATATATTGTGCCTGCAGGATTTTTGGAAGTGGTTTGCCATTGCCTTCTTCCTAGAGCTGAGAGAAAGTGACTGGCCCAAGGTCACCCAGCTGGTTTCATACCTAAGGTGTGAGTAGAACTCATGGTCTTCCAGTTTCTAGCCTGGTGCCTTCAACCACTAAACCACACTGGCTGAACATTAATAATAGAGTAGTTTATTCCCTCTGCAAAATATCAGAGTAGAGTACTATAATCAAAGATCTTAGTAGACAGTGGTGTCATAAGTTTAATAAATAGAAAATTCCTTGCCTTGAAAAGGAATCTTTCATATACAGGGAGAGATAGTCAAATTGTAGCTAGAGGATTCAGGTAAAAATAATTCAAGCCTCAGATTCCTTAAGTCTGGGGAAACCAAACTGGCTTTGCCTGGCACAAAAAGGTAATCAGGTCTTTGCCCTCCAGAGCACCACTACTGAAAAAGGCCTTTCACTTGAACTCAATTAATATATATGGAGGTGACACTAGGGAGATCTCAAGGTCCATCTAGGAATGTATAGAGAGTGATAGTTCTTAAGTATCCTAGTGACGAGCTCTGAAGACTGAAAAACACCTTGAAGTGGGCTTAGAAATAAACTGGGATTCAGTGGAGATGGTGAAGCACTCATGTGATATGCTAATATTGCAAATATCAGCAATTCTATAGCCATATTCTAAACTTATAATTTTGGACTGTTTTCAGAGGTAGCCCATATATCTGCATGTTCCTGCTTAGATAAGTAAAAAGCACATGAGTAAAATAACAT